GCTCCCCAGCCTGATGGGAGCCAGCAGGTAGGTGAGCCTGTGTAGCCGCACGTTAGCCGTACCGTGCTCAGGAGAAACAGGCACCCAGATATTCGGGTTGCTTTTTTTTTTTTAATGCACAGATTAACTAAAACCACGGCAAAACCTAGGCGACGTCACCGGGCATCTCCCACCCGACTGACAGCTCATTTAAAGGAGATGGCACTTGACAAACGCTCTGTGATTGTTTTGTTCCTGTACTAATTAACTCGAATTAGCACCCTCATAACTCAAGCTTAAAGGTTGTGGTGCAGATAAGGTTCGTCACCTGTGAAAGCCTTTGGCTGGCCGTGATCGACCAGCGCCTCTGAAGCCACCCCTCAGCCCTGGCGCCCCCCGGCAGGGAGCTGAGAGGGCTCTCGGAGCGGCGGGAAAGCCTCACCCTCGCAGGCACCTGAGAAGAAGCAGAGCACGGGGAAGAACGACGCAGGGGCGCTTTTAATGGTGGGCTGGGTGCGGCGGGGGCCGCAGGGCTGGAGTATAAAGTGTGAGGAGAAAGGCGAGCCTCGCCGGTATCTTCCCGAGGAGCAGGCTCTCCCGTTCGGCGGAGCCCTTCTCCTCAGGCTCCCGTCCTACCTTCGCCCTGGAGCGGTGCCGCTCTCCCGAGGGCCGCAGCGCGGAGGGGGCGGGGGAGGCGGTGCGGCAGCGGTTGGTAAGGGCGGGTAGTTCAAATCCAAGCGAGGGAAAGCAGCGGTAGCCGCACGCGAGGAGCCGGTGTGGGTGGAGAGAAGCGAAGCGGCTCCTCACTAAGGGCAACGGGCCCCAGAGCCAGGCGGCGAGCTGCTGAGGCGACAGGGTTCCGTTCTCTCAGCCAGCCGGGGAGGGGGGTTCCTCGCCTTCACCCCTTCTCAGGGAGCCCCGCCGACCGCCTCAGCTGCACTCGGTAGTAGGGGGCCTCTAGGCTCTGTTTCCTGTGCCCGGCGGTTTGCCAGATGAGGGGGTGAAGCTGTTGCTTTGCTCGTGTCCGGCATCCCAGGTGACTGAGAGACCCTCGGGTGCTGGTCCCTAGGTCGCCGTCAATAATCTTCATCGCTGGGTAACTAGACGTTGCAGTGAACGCATATACAGACGAACTGAAAACTGTGCCTCAGCTGGGTAATACTTCTCTCGCATGTCTCTCTTCTCTCCACATCCTTTCCCACTTTAGGTTATCAGTAGGGGTAAACAATACTTTGAATACAGCACCTTTGCTTTGGA